AAACAACACAGGAATCTTTAGTTTTGCTTGTTTTGAACAAATATTTTCTATTTTGTTTTAAGTAATTTAAAAGTTATTATTTATCTTTCTTTATTTACTTTTTCTGTTACTTTATAACTATTGAATAAATAATTAAAAACTAAAATTAAAATTAAAATATTGTGATATTTCATAATTACTGTAAAAATGACAAATAAAACATTACCAAAAAAAAATTTAAATATATAAATACTTTTAAAATCAAACACAACGTTAATTTTATTTTTCACCTTTTTGCTTACGTTAGTGTTCTAATATTGAAAGAAAAGAGTATAATTAAATTGCATTATTTTGCTTAAGCGTGATAATCTTCTTTTCTTTGGCCTAATTTATTTATTTTGGAAAAATTATATCTTGTAAAAACACTAAGAAATAGAATCAAAACCATGAGAGGAATCAATTCATTGTTTTGATTTGAAGTGAGAAAATCCCGCCAACTCATGCATGGTATTATTACACTAGTGAGTGAGTAGATGTTGCAGCGTACTGTGTTTTGTGGCCTTTGCCTTGCAAGGCTCAAAGCTTCTCCATCAAACTCACTCATCAAAACCCCGCCACTTTATGCATTTTGTACTCTTTCCTCAACCCAAATGAACCCCGCCAAGAAATTAACATTTTCCCATATTTTCCAAAAGTGTTCCAATCTTAAAGCTCTCAATCCTGGCAAACAAGCCCATGCCCAGATGATTGTAACTGGTTTTGTGCCTACCATCTATGTTGCCAATTGCTTGCTTCAGTTCTATTGCAAAGGTTCCAATATGGAGTATGCATTCAAGGTGTTTGACAGAATGCCTGAAAGGGACATAATTACTTGGAATACTATGATATTTGGATATGCTGGAGTTGGGAACATGGGGTGTGCACAGTCTTTGTTTGACACGATGCCTGAGAGAGATGTGGTTTCGTGGAATTCTTTGCTCTCTTGTTATTTACGTAATGGTGCTAATCGAAAGTCAATTGAAATTTATGTCAAGATGAGATCACTGAAAGTCACACATGACTATGCTACATTTGCCGTTGTTCTGAAAGCTTGTTCAGGTATCGAAGACTGTGGTCTAGGGCTTCAGGTGCACTGTCTTGCAATTCAGATGGGTTTTGAGAATGATGTGGTGACAGGTAGTGCTCTAGTAGATATGTACTCAAAATGTAAGAAACTAGATGATGCTTTTATGGTTTTCCGTGAAATGCCTGAGAGAAATTTGGTCTGCTGGAGTGCTGTAATTGCTGGCTATGTTCAGAATGACCGGTTTATTGAGGGACTAAAACTGTTTAAGGATATGCTGAAAGTAGGTATGGGGGTGAGTCAATCAACCTATGCTAGCGTATTCAGGTCTTGTGCGGGATTGTCTGCATTTGAATTGGGTACACAGTTGCAAGGTCACGCCCTAAAGTCTGATTTTGGATATGACAGTATTGTTGGAACTGCCACATTGGACATGTACGTAAAATGTAACAAAATGTCTGATGCCTGGAAGGTATTTAACACATTGCCTAATCCTCCTCGGCAATCTTATAATGCCATTATTGTTGGATATGCTCGGCAAGATCAAGGTCTTAAGGCTTTAGATATTTTTCAGTGTTTACAGAGGACTTGTCTTGGCTTTGACGAAATTAGTTTGTCTGGTGCTTTGACTGCTTGTTCAGTGATCAAAGGTCATCTGGAGGGGATCCAGCTACATGGATTAGCAGTCAAATGTGGTTTAGAGTTTAATATTTGTGTTACGAATACAATTTTAGACATGTATGGCAAGTGTGGAGCTCTGATGGAAGCTTGTTTAATATTTGACGAGATGGAGAGAAGGGATGCTGTGTCTTGGAATGCAATTATTGCAGCTCATGAGCAAAATGAAGAAATAGAAAAAACACTTTCACTCTTTGTTTCAATGCAGCGATCAACAATGGAACCTGATGATTTTACTTACGGTAGTGTTGTAAAGGCATGTGCTGGTCAGCAAGCTTTAAAATATGGTATGGAGATCCATGGAAGAATTATTAAGTCTGGGATGGGGTTAGACTGGTTTGTTGGCAGTGCTCTTGTTGATATGTATAGCAAGTGTGGAATGCTAATGGAGGCAGAAAAGATCCACGACAGGCTGGAAGAGCAAACAACTGTTTCCTGGAATTCGATCATCTCAGGATTCTCATCACAAAAGCAAAGTGAAAATGCTCAGAGATATTTTTCTCAGATGCTGGAAATGGGTGTAATACCTGACAACTTTACATATGCTACAGTTCTTGATATTTGTGCTAATATGGCCACGGTAGAACTAGGAAGGCAGATTCATGCTCAAATTTTAAAGCTCCGGTTGCATTCAGACGTGTATATTGCCAGCACACTTGTAGATATGTATTCTAAGTGTGGAAATATGCAGGATTCCAGGCTAATGTTTGAGAAGGCACCAAAGAGGGATTATGTGACTTGGAGTGCCATGATTTGTGCATATGCATACCATGGTATTGGAGAAGAAGCCATTAAATTATTCGAGGAGATGCAGCTTTTGAATGTGAAACCAAATCATACAATTTTTATTTCAGTCCTCAGAGCTTGTGCACATATGGGTTATGTCGACAGAGGGCTACACTACTTTCAGAAAATGCTAAGTCACTATGGTTTAGATCCCCATATGGAGCACTATTCGTGTATGGTAGATCTATTAGGGAGGTCAGGCCAAGTAAATGAAGCTTTGAAGCTTATTGAAAGCATGCCTTTTGAAGCTGATGATGTAATATGGAGAACTTTGCTCAGCAATTGCAAGATGCAAGGAAATATAGAAGTTGCAGAAAGAGCTGTGAATTATTTATTGCAGTTGGACCCTCAAGATTCTTCAGCGTATGTTCTTTTATCTAATGTATATGCTAACGCAGGGATGTGGGGTGAGGTTGCAAAAATAAGAAGTATAATGAAGAACTGTAAGTTAAAGAAGGAGCCAGGCTGTAGCTGGATTGAGGTAAGAGATGAGGTACACACATTTCTTGTTGGAGACGAAGCACATCCAAGATCTGAAGAGATATATGAGCAAACTCATTTGCTTGTGGACGAGATGAAGTGGGCTGGGTATGTTCCAGATATTGATTTCTTTCTTGATGAGGAGGAAGAACAGGATCCTTATGAGGGGCTCAAAACTACCATTTGTAGTGTGAGATAAAAATGTAGGAAAGATTTCAAACGCTGCTTACAATGGCTTAATGGAGATTCCTCTACCCTCGTGGTGCTTGAGTGTGCTGTTTCACATGCTGAGATTGGTCCATATTCCCCTGCATTGGATAGTGCTCTGGGTTAATTAGACCCTCAACTTGGCTCTGGCTGGCTATAGGTGCATCTTAAGGAACATCAAGAGTTTTGATGGGATTATCCAGCAATCTGATCACCTAAACATATATTCATCATTCATTCAGATTCTGTTAGATGAGTACAAAGAAGAATTTGATATGAGGAGAGGTCCAAGCCGGTGATAATCTTTATTTAAAGAAATAACATGTTTATATTTCCCTGATGTTCCTCACATGGCTCATAAACCTGGTACACATTCTCAAACCGTGGGATCATTATGAACAGATTCATGCAACCATCGCATGAGAGAGTACGATTGGTGGGAAGATGTAACTCGTACTCTTTTTAAGTGGAGGAAACTTTTTGCACTGATACTCTGGGCTATACTTGTAACTTAACAGACCATTCAGTATCCTAGCACAAAAATTTAACGAGTTACAAATGGAACAAGTTCATAACTTTGTTGTCAGGGTTTTTTTTCTCTATAAATATAAATTTTAAAAAATTGTTGTCTAATGCATATACTCAAATCTCCTTTCTTGTACCAGATCATTATAAGTGGTTATATATCTTAGATGTTGGCAAAGACCAACATTTATCTTTATTCTCTTATTATCATTCTAAGCTGGTCAACCCCATTCCTGTATATCAACAATATATTTAGTAGGACTACACTCTGTTTTAAGCAGTTTAAATGTTTAAACGGTTATTCCTCTGCATTTGCATGTTCTAAAGCAAGAAGGTTGCCCAAGGAATGCCACCAAACAACTTTTATAAACGGCCTGATCAAAACCCTAGGTCAAAATTCTCAATTAATTATCATGTTAGATTATGTTATTTCTCGAAAAAATGTTAAAATATGTTTTTCTCATCAAAGTGAAACTTCGCTCGGGTGGCTCCATCCATCAAAGAAACAATTTTGCCAGTTAATTCACTGAATGATGTCGGATTATATTATCCGTGAAAAGTATGTTGTGTCCAACTTATTCAATACATACTATTTTAACATCCTGAAAAAGCTTAAAAATATTGTTTAATTTTCTTTACGGAAAAAACTCCAGCTATTTGCACCCTTTCTAAATCTACGTTGCGAATTGACATGCAGCAAGCTCCAACAAGTGCGTGGATCAGAAGGCTCATAAACAAGAACAAATTAAAAGATCATTCTTTTCAACTATGCACCAAAGCTTTTAATGTCAAATTAAAAATTCTCTTCATCAGACCTGAAATTAGAACCACTTATGTTATTTTACTTTTAATGTTCGCTACGCGTTGAGACAAAAAAGAAAATAACTTTTCTAACAAGAATTCAATTGCTCACATTAAAGATAACTAATTTCTTCTGCTAGACTCAATTTAATCCACAACTCTAAACATACCCCCTCAAGCCATAAAGAAAAAGATCGTACCAAAAGTTATTTAAAGAAAACAATAGCCCATTATATATATGGTAACAAAAGGGTAATCTCAAAACTAGTTACAAGAGAAGCGGATCAAAACCACCATACATGTTCTCCGTTGGTACAAAACTTGATTACTACACAACAACTTGCATTAAAACCTGCAGTTACAATGGCCTTGTAAGTTGTAACCTACACTAACCCTGGCGGTTGTAAGGTTCGGGTTCCATCCCTCTCACCTCATACACTACCTAGATCCCAAAAACAAGAACAAAATTCTGACTACTCATTCAAAGATTGGCATCAACATTCAGAAATGTCACGGCTGAAAACAGTAAGACAAGCACTGATAACATGAACAAGTGCCTAAAACTAAGAACTCCTGCATCTATTCTCCTCACAGTACCTGCATCTGGCACAGTATCTGCAAACATTACTTCATTATCATTTATGGAGGAATTTTTCCAAGTCCTGTCCACCTGGAGAAGGAAAATAAGAGCAACATTAAAAGAATGCTTTTAATATAAACAAGCCATGTATATTAGTATTTTCTAACAACAACAACTGTCACAGGAAGAAATGCTCCCATGATCTTCCAACCCCACCCACAAATAGCGCAACAAGTTTGCACACACACACAGCCGTTATCAGTGTATATGTCTTATAAATAGAGAGAGAAATCATTATGGCTTGTTTTGAGATTTCACTGAAAAAAAATGCCAGAGACATAATATTCCAACACGTAAATAAAAAATTAAGTTGTAGAAGTAAAATAGAAAAAAAAAAAAAAACTAGCTCCTACGTACCAAAAAGTAAAAAAATTATTCCAAATAGCTAAAGCCTTGTAGAAGTAATACTATGACCCAAAAACCAGTAAATCCACCCACCACTGATCCCCAAAGCCAACTTCATATTATAAAAAAGAATCATTACTTCAGCAAAGTCATTTTTTATATCAAAAATATGCTTATGAAAGTAGTTATATTTGATGCCCTGAGAATGCAGGTAATTTGTCCTTTTGTATTTTTTTTCAAGTAGCCAACTGTCATCCAGATAATCCTTTTAGAAAATGATTTTTTAAGAAAAACTAGTCTTTTAAGTTGACTTTCTCTGGAGATTCTTGAACCTCAACTTCATGAAAAAATAAAAACACAAGTTAATAAAGTCAGAAATACCAACCTGGTGATCAGTTGTCAAAGTCACACTAACTTCTTGAGAAGGATGCTTATTTGTCTGCTTTAGCTTCACAACCAATATTCTGTTCTCACTGACTAAGGAAGACAGCTGCAAACAAAGTATAACACTCATCTAACCATGAGCTGGTATAGTAAAGCCCTCACAAATCCAATATACGTTTCGCTAAGAATAAATTCTCAATACCAAAAGATTTTGCCTTTCGGATATCTCACATTTCAGACATGATTCAACATTTTCAATCAGATATGTTTTGAAGTCTTTCTGCTTTCTGCTTTCTGCTTTGTGTTTTGTTTTTGTTTTTTTTTTTTCTTTTTATCTACCTCTTTGATCAAGGTGACTTAAATGATTTTAAAAAAAATGCATCCCAATAGTCAAGTAAACTACTTTTCAATTTTCATCCTCTTTCAATTAAGTTGTTCTAAGTTTAAATTTAAAAACAGAAAATGGGAACAAGTCTATTCATGAAAAATATATTACTAGTCAAATCTATGGAAGAAAGTGGAAAACTAAAGGAAAGGAGAAAAGGCCCATGTTTGCTCAGTTGTTCAATTTTTAAAAACTGACCCAAAAATCAAAGCACCACGTAGGTTCAGACAGTTATATTTATACAACACCCAGTTATTATACAATGCAAATCAATTGAATTCATTTGAAATCCTAACTGTTTCTGTTGATTAATGAGCAAGACACACTTAAACTAAACATCATGCAGACCAAAGATCTTGCACCCTATAAAAAATATCTTCCACCTCAGATCCGGATGGTTTTATTATTTTGTAACTTTTCAAAAGCTTGATCTTTACCTGCTTATTAAGGCGTTCTCTCTCAACAGCCAGCTGCATCAGCAAATTTTTGAAAACATTTGCCTGCTTTCCAATATCCTTTGCGGATGCCACTTTTGCTTCCTCCACTTGATTTAGTGATCCCTCCAAGCAGTCTAATCTGCTCCTCAAGAAGCTTAGTTCCTCGTTTAAATCAGTATTAGACTCAGATAATATGATGCATTTCTCCTCTACACTGTTAGCCCGGAACTCCGCTTTAGAGACCTTTGACTTAAGATCCTTTATCACTTGCTCCATATCTTTAATTGTGGAATACAACATACTTTGCTTCTCTAGACTAGCTTCAGCAGATGCTGTCGCACGCTGCAGCTGTAAATCAGATTCCCTTAGCTGCCTCTCAAGTGACTCTACCCTCTCAGACTTGCCACCACTATCTTTCAAAAGCGCCATCTGCCTGTTGAGTTCACTATTAGTCTCCTTCAATAGCTTACAACGAGTTTCTGCAGTATTAGCCCGACTTTCCGCATTAAATAAATTTTCTTTCAATTCAACAATAATGCCTTGCAAGTCTCTCACTTCAGAACACAAAACATTATACTGTTTCTGATATTCATCAGCAGAAGCCTTCACATTCATTAGCTGGCTTTCAGATTCTTTTAGCTGCTTCTCAACTAAACACACCTTGTCACTTAAAGTGGCAACCTCAAAATTGTCATTAATTAGTTTAACATTCAATTGTTCAATCTTGTCCGAAGTAACATCCCTCTCTCTCACTTGTTCTAGACAAGTTTCAATCTTAGCTCTTTGATGCAAATTGAACTGGGATATCTGGAGTCTACCCAACAGCTCTTTTGAAATACCTGTCAGTATCTCACGTGCATTATCTGCCTGGAGCCATCTTTCCCAAGCATCAGTTGCTTCTTCCTCCGTTAGAATTAGCTCTTGTTCTAAAGAAGCAGTCCTTTGTTTTAGCTTTTCTTCAATTTGCCTTGAGTCAATGAAATTCTTCTCAAGATTCATTTCATTAGCTAAAGCTTTCTCTAGCATCCTCAGAACATGTCTTTGTTGCTCAGTAGTGTGCATGGTCATTGCCGGGCTTACAGTTAAATACTCATCATCCTCTAAAATGATATCACCCTCTTCAACATTACCTGTTGCCATTAAGATCGGGGCATAAAAACATTTATCAGCAATGGAGAATTATTTACACAAAGATATTCTTATTGATCACACATTCATCATGAATCAGCCATTTTAAGCCAGTATGTCCAATTTTCTTCACAATTTGTTCTTCTAATAAAAGAAGAAATTCGTTGATGCACGAGGAGTTCCCACATCATTACACAAACAATTTCACGTGAAAACGGAAGTGGACCCCCCCCCCTCCAGAATATGATGGGATAGACATAAAAGATTTCTTAGAAATGCTCTTTTCTTACAACTTAAAGAAAACGACAAAATCATGAAATAAATAAGGCCAGGCAATTAATGTGCCACCAAAAAGCAAAACCTACATAAATGAATCAATCAATGAGATTCTTCACATACCAATTCCTCCCCTCTTATAAGAAGACAAAGTCCTCTCAAAACTGGCAGACAGTTTTTTAATCTCTGAAAACTGCTCCTCAGACTGTTTCAAACATTGTTCAGGATCAAGCAAATTGTCTTGCCAGGGCTTGCAAGAGGTCACCCTCTCTCCAGCATCAGCAATCTCAGCATAAAGGGTGTCCAAGAACCTATCCAATTCCACAACCTCAGAACCCAACACCCCACATAACAGGTCAAACTCCAGAAACTTCCCAACACAACCCACGTCGACGTCATTGTCTTCTCTGTCCAAAACAAAACCCTCCAATTCAACTCCAAGAGTTTCCAAGTGCATCACAAAATTCCTCAAGTTTGCAACTTTCTCGGAGAAAAATGCCAGATTCAGTTTCATCCCAGTGAGCACTGTAACCATGTCATCATCACCCAGATCCCCAATTACTTCTCCACACGGTGAAACCCCTCCAAGATCAATATCAACGGTGTCTTTAGCACTTTGAGTGTCCATTGTTCTAATCTAACACTTCAGCACGTGTTGCTCTGGACCCTGGGACAGAACCCAAATATTAAAATTCAAAAGAATTATATATTTAAGCCACAAAAGTGAATATAATCCATCTCTGAACCACCTGGGGGATGGAATTTGAAAATTAAAAAGGGGTAGAAACGAATGGAAAATGCTAGGTTTGAAGGAGCGATTAAAAATTTTGCCATAATTGAAGAAGGGAATGGAACCGTAGCAATTGAAAAGTGGGGAATTTGAAAAAGAAGTGAAACAGGATACCTGAATTGTTGATTTCCGATAAGAGAGACAGTTGCGCCCTAACCTAACCACAACACCATACACTTGCACGTCACAGTGAAACGAAACGTTTCGTTTAGGTTTTTTTTTTTTTTTTTTTTCACAATTTAATCCTAATCAGCAAAAATCAAAAGCGGCATGCCACTTTTTTTTTTCTTTTTTTTTTTCAAAACCAAAATACCTAAATTGGCAATGTGTTTTCTTGTTGGAGACCCATTTGGGAATTTTTGTAGGGATTAGAGGAAAATTTAGTTGTACCTCTCATTAGTACAAAGGATGATGCAAGAAACTTTCTTTAAGATAAAATGTTTATGGCAAATGCCAAAAAAAAAAAAAGGAAAATAATGATCAGCTTCTTAAATAAAAATTAGTAATTAAAACTATAAAAAATTACTAAGATACATAAAATAACATTTTTTTTATTCTTATCACAATTTTAAAACATTTTTGTGTGATTTTATTTTTTCGTTTTAAAGTTGACGTAAATTTACAATTTGTTTACATCTATCCTAATGACATGAATAAATGAATGTATAAAATAATACATATAATCGTTTGGAAAATAAATCGTTTTCAATATTGTTTATTAACAAATTTCATTACTTGTAATAAATATAATTCAATATAGTATAAATGTATAAAATAGAAAATAAATAAAAAATGTAGATTACATTGCCAACGAAAAATTAAAATAACTTTGAACCTATATTAATGTTAATGCTATTTTTTTTACTTAAAAATATGTTACAAAAAGCAAATAATAAAACACAAGGATAAATTTGAATAATTTTCATTTGAAAATAATTCACAATGTTTTAATAAAATAATAATTATTATTAATAAAACTTAATAAATTAATTATTTTATATGTTTATCAAATTATATTATAATTACATTAATATGTACTTGAACTGAATTATTTTGAAATATAATTTTAAACCATTTTTTAATTCATAATAATAATAATAATAATAATAACAGCAACAATAATAATAATTCACATAAATGTTTAAGAAAACAACATGTGATCATTATATTATAAATATGTTTAACTTGTCTTGGTTAAATAATAAAAAAGAAAGTTTACTAAAAATCAAGTTATGAAACACCTCTTTCTCTCCCTGAACTCTTTTTGTCCACCTCTTCTACTTTTCTCATTAATTTAACTTAATTTCTTATTAATGTTAATTTAATTATCATCAATTTTTTCTCTGAATGTTTTAATATAATTGCAGTAAATAAATAAATATTAACCACGCTAGTTATTATTAAATTAAATTAATCTCTAAATTTCAACCACCCTCTCCTTCGGAAAACAATTTCATGGGGCAAAACATAAATGAGGTGTTGACTGGTCTTAATTTCATTACAACAAGTATTACATTAGTCTTGTTTATATACAGTTTTTATAACATTAAAGTTTTAATGAAATTACAATCACGATAATAATTATAATTTAGAATAATTTAAATAATTGTTTAACGCATATCAATTTCGTAACATTATTAACAAAATTTGAATATAATAAAGTGTTGCTTATATTTTTTCCATATGATATTTTTCATTTATTTTGTTTTAGATTAGATTTTTTTAATTATACTATGAAAAAGTGTTAATTACACAAACATAAAAAAAATTAGTTACCGATAAATATCTCTGTCATTTATAAAGAACTATTTTTACATCTATTTTCATTTACCTCCCTAAATAAGTTTATTTATATTGTTTTATTTTAATTTTTATTTGTAATTTTTGTTTTTCTATTTTTTGTGATTTTACTTCTATTTTTATCTTTGAAAGGGTGGACTCCACTGTAAATAAATAAATAAAAAAAGACGTGAAATATGAATTGATATATAGATATTCTTAAAAAAAAAGGTCTCATTTTCTTGAGATAAGATAAGTACAAAATATTTGTCACGTCACCTCCTGTTATTCCTTTTATTTCATGCATGATGATTAATTTAACATCCTATAAAAAATATTTTTCTCCTCTTGAAAGAAATATTGATCTTATCTAAGACGATAATCAAACCACATGTTATGTGTTAAGAAGTTGGACTAGATGGGAAAATAAAATCATTAAGCAAAATTGAGGAAGTATTAAACTGGAAAACTGAAAATGTCAAAGCTCAAAACTCCATCTTACAAAGAATTGATCAGAAGATGGATAAAATCTCAACACATCTTGAAGAGACTGATGAAAAACTCTAGCATCTCAATTCAACTTTGAGAAAGTATTATAAACAACTTTTCTCAAAACTCTCTCTGTTAGAGGAATATTGAATAAAAAAAATACTATTTTCAGAGAGTTATCTCATTCCAAGGAAAAGGAGATTGGAAGACTCTCAAATCCAAGAGATGGACAATTACATTGAGACAAAAGTCAAACAACAGAAGACTGAGAAAGATCCTTATCTATCTCTGTTTACTTCAATTCCTACATACTTATCTTTCTAGCACTCGTCTCCATTCTTCCAACCACCAACACAGTCTTCTTGGTCTTTACCTATAATCATTGCTTATATAGATCATGGCCTAAACTAGGAACATCAAAGTCAGGCAAACACAAAGACAAAGAAAAGAAAGTCAATCCATCTTCTTAAGAATCTTCTCATGAAGTTCTACTCTCACCAAAAAGACAAACTCATCAAGACCCATTTAATTCAATTTTTCAAGATTCTCAGTATCCATATTCTCAAATGACCATAGAGTCTTATCCATATCTAACTCCTAAAAATACTCCTACAATTCTTGAAGAGTATTTCTCTGAAGATTCAGAAACATAAATTCTTAGTTATGCAGACTCAACCCAAATTCTAATGACCAATACCTCAAATCTAAAGTCAGACATGAGCTTATTTAATATTGTCCCGATGAAGAAGTCAACTCTGGTCCAATCAGAACAAGGTTTACTATTGACGATATCCCTCAATGTTAGTGGAGAGATAGACTAATTGAATTTAAAGCTTAGTTAAATACCAAAATAGGTAAGAAATTTGATTCTTACAAGATCATTGAAGAATTTTGCTGGAGAATGACTGAAACCCTTAAGGAATGGTACCATAACCTGGGAGTTGTTAGACAAAACCAATTCCATGAACTGAGACAAACTTCAAAAATATTGGGAGCATTACATGAATAATTCTTAAGAGATTGCTCGATAATTGACAAGAAATTCAGGCAAGAATTATTTGGAATAAGATGTTACTTAGTAAAGATCAAGGATTTGGAGAAGCACTATTAAAGAATGAACAAAAGATTCTATCATCTCAATGGACTCAACGATCTCAACCTGAAAAATTCTTATATAACATCTTTTCCTATTGAAATCCAGCAAGAACTGAATAGGATGACAACGACTATCCAAAAAGACTTGACTACCTTGATTATGGCTCAAATTCAGAGTGTCTTTGTAAAGTGCGGGACTACCAAAAAGCATCCTCTATTTCAAGATCTATAAAAGCTCGTTTCAGAGGTTTCTTTTTTATATCTCTTCTTTTTTATTGCTTTCTTTTACTGTTCTCCTTGTATACATTAGTTATTAGGGTCATGTAGATAACTATTTAAATATTGCAATAAATAAATAGGGTATAAGTATAATTTTTAAGTGTCTTTATTTTAAGAATAGTTCATCATAAGGAACCCGAAAGGGACGTTGTGGGGGTGCTAATACCTTCTCCACATGTAACTAACTTCCTTAACCAACTCTGGTTATAATGACCAAAGTTGATTTTTCTTAAACCAACGCCTTCTTTTTTCTCTTTTCTAATGTTTACGGTAAAAATATTAGTGGCAAATGCAAAACCCATTTACGAAAACCACGTTCCTAGTTCGGTTAGCAGACACCCTAAGAGCGATGACCATTTTTTTAAAAACAAATGCGAGTCATCAAAATCATCGCATCGTTCCGATATTCTCTTTCGACAGCGGCGACACCAACCCACATCAGAATTGAACCAAAACCAAAGCTTATCTACATTGCAACAACCCCGCACCCAACATGTACATCCTAAAATCTGATCAATTCAACCTTGACCAGGGAAAACATGACACTCAACATGTACCCCTTGCAGATCAATTCAACCTTAACCAGAGAACAAACACGACCCAATAGGAATCCAGAGTTAATCATGACTTAAATCCATAATCAGAGACACAAGAAACAGACCCAAACATCAGTGGGTGGTTTGGTGAAGGAGAAATGGATAGATGTGGGGTGAGCACGGTGCGAGGAGGATGAGACCATGGAGGCTAGGGTCAACTCACAGTGGTCGTCGGGTTTGTGCGAGCCAGCCGCGATGGTTGGCAAGGTGAGAGGAGGTGACCACAGGGAGGACGCATGACGATTAAGGTTTAAATAAAAAAAAAGGGGTATGTTGGCGATTTGGTGGTCGACAACGTGGGTGAAGGTGGTGATGGGGCTTGGTGGTAGTCGCGGTTGGGTTCATATGGTTGGTCGATTAACCGGGGGTGATGGTTAGGTGGAGGAAAAATAGAGGTGAAGGGTTGGACACACAAGAGGAAAGGGGTAAGTGAGGGGAGAGTGATGAGGTGAAGAATGATTAGTGAGACCTGGTTGGGTGAGACAGTAGAGGTGATGGTGGGTGAGTATGATGGGTCGAGTGAAGGAGATGAGAAAAAAGGCGAACAAGAAGAGTAAAAAAAAAAAGCATTAAGGATAAAGTAAATCGACATGGCTAAGGATCTTTCTCAGCCTCTACTGTTCGACTTTTGCCTCAATGTAATTGTCCATCTCCTTCATCTGAGCTTTAATTCTTCTATCTCCTTTTCCTTAGCGTGAGATAACTCTCCAAAAATAGTATTTTTGTAATCTTCCTCTAATCGGGAGAGTCTCAGAAAAGTTGCTTATAATACTTTCTCTAAGTTGAATTGAGATGCTAACGTTTTTCATCAATTTCTTCAAGATGTGTTGAGATTTTATCCATTTTTTTCTGGAGAGGTTTTGTATTTCAGGGTTTCATGGACAAAATAAAATTAACGAGATTTTGTATATTGGAGGATTTCTGCTAGTGAGGTTGGGTTTAGTCCAAGAGGATAAACTCTTATAGTTTTTAGCTTTGTTTGATAAGGGTTTTACCATAAATATGAGAGGAAAACTATGAGTATCAGAAATTATATGGATAATTTTTTTTGGTCTAGACACAAAATCAAGAATTGTGTTTTCGTTCCTTTTATATGTTCAATAGAAAAATCATACCTCGAAAACCAGTCTTTTAGTCGAAGGATTTGAGCATCTAGATGCATCCTGTTTTTGAACTCTAGGATCCTTAGAAAAGAAGAGTTGTCCATTTGTATTTCAAAATGATGTCCTCTGGGATGGAAGTCAAACTTTTTTATTCCATTTTTTACAATTAAGGCTTCCTTGAAAGTAGTGTGGTAGTGTTTCTCATCATATTTGAACTGTCCACTCGCATGGTCACAATAATATTTTTTCACATTTTCTTCTTCAATAAGTAATGCTCCCGAAAAATCATCACTTGCATTAGTTTGAAGTATTCTTTTCCCATTCCCTGGGATTTTTAAAGCTGGATGAGTTTGAACTATTTTCTTAAGTTCTTTGACTATTAGAGTCTGCTTTGGTCCCTAAGAAGGAGGATTCTTCTTTAACAACTTGGACAAGGGACTTGTATACCTGGCAATATTAGGAATGAATTCTCTGGTGCAGTTAATGATTCCAAGAAATTGTTGAACTTGCTTGATGGTTAAGTTTTCATCAGAAAATTTGAGAAGCTCTTCAGCAATGTAAGGTCGAGGTTGATATGTGCCTTGAGACAAATGCATTCCAAAGAAATCAATTTCTTTTTGGGCCAATTGAATTTTCTTCTCAGAGAGCATTATCCTGTGTTGATGGTATGTTTCAAACAATTGACCCAATAACTTATTATGAGAGTCCATGTGTTGAGAGAACAGTAGAATATCATCTATATAAATAATAGCTTTGTCTAATATGAGCTCAAAATTTTTTGTCATGGCCTTCTAGAATAGTGAAGGAGCTAACTTAAGTCTAGGACATTACTTTCCACTGATATTGGGCATTAGGTATGCAAAAAAAAGTTTTATATCTATCAGAAAGATCAATGTCTAATTGCCAAAATCCGGACTTGATATCAAACTTGGAGAAAATATAAGCTTCTTTAATCAGAGTGGGTAAGGAAGATACTTTAGGAATTTGAAACTTATCATCCTTAAGAAAATGATTAAGAGGTTTATAATCAATGACTAACATTTTTTCCCCTCAGATCTCTTTTGCACATAAAAAGCTTGAAAGGCCCAATTCGATTGGATTCGTTCTATCAAACCTTATTCAAGAGTTCTTGTCATTCTTGTCCAGTCAACAATAGATCTGATGGAGACATTCCAGGATGAGTAGCCTTTGTAGGGTTAACATCTTCATTAAATTTGAAGAGTAGTTGGACGAAGAATTCAGGATTCTTCCACGAAGAATTTGGATGAGAACAATCTTCATGACTTTTAGCACACAGGATAGCCAATTTGACTTTTATTTCACCTAAGTCTGAAGAAGTTTCAGAGAGAGAGAAAAGCTTGGGTACTTCGGTGAAGGATTTAAACTCTCCTTTGAATTCTATTATAGTAGAATGGATCTGAAGCTTATGAGGCATGGAATAAATATCCATTCCTACCAATATGTCTTTGTTTGGGAGCTTACTTCCAATTACCCTTGACCAAACTATGCATTCTAGGAAGAATTTGGTCCTGATTGGGGATTTTATGATGAGATCAATCTTGAAATATTTCTATCAACTGGAACAGAATAAGAGACTTCCTTTTTCCATAATAACTATCTGGATCCATCATGAATTTTTGTGCTCTTGTGTCAAGATAGACTATGACTTTAATGAGTTTTTCATACTTAGGAGGAAGAAGTTGAACTTCTAGGCATGGTTATGGTGATGAGACATTAATGAGATTGATCTCATGGAAAGAACAAACAAGAATAATATTTATTAGATTCTACATCTGAATGATCATATTTTGTTTCATTAGAGGATATAAAGAGAGCAAAAATTATTTCTTCATCTCAAGAGCTTTGTTCTGAATATATGAACTCTATATCATCATTATCTCCAAGATTGAGAGTGGAGATGAGCTTTATGGCTCTTTCGGCTTTATGGGGACAATTCTTCGAGAAGTGACCTTTCTTCTTATAGATAAAACATCTTTGGTCTCGAGATTTTCCTCTGATCTTCTTGAAGAATATGAAATTCTTCCTTTTCTTGCGAATAAGTTGTTTTTCCCGCCTTTTCATTTTGGAATTTCCTGAACAGGGTTTCTTACACTTGATTTCAAGATAGGGTTTCTGCCTGATTAAATTTACTCTTCTGGATCATGATGTCATAGAAGAATTCATATTGTCTGTAGAGTTTATCAATGACCTCTAGAGTTATTTGATGAATTTGACCCATAGGTAATGAAGTCTTTTTGGATTGTCATTGTCATCCTGTTCAGTTCTGGCTGAATTTCAGCAAGAAAAGATGATACATAAGTATTTTTCAGGCTGGGATCATTGAATAACCTATTAAACTTAAGCATTTTGGTATTCCAAAGGGAAAATATGTTTGGGTTCCTATAGTTAAATGATTTGATTGTCTCTAACCCCAAGGACCCAAAAGTTATGCGGACCTAAGATTATTATGTTCTTGTTTTGTAGGAAACTTCCAAATCCAAGAAATCTATGTGATATCTTGACAGTGAGTGTTTAAGACATATGACTGGAGACAAAAAGAAATTTGTGAGTTTTAAAGCAAAGGAACAAGGATATGTAACCTATGGGGACAACAATAAAGAAAGAATACTTGGAATCGGAAATATTGGTGGTGCAAATACTTTGGAGATAAAGGATGTGCTTCTTGTTGATGGATTAAAGCACAATCTCCTAAGTATAAGTCAATTTTGTGATAAAGGATTTAAGGTAATTTTTAAAAGGAAGTTTTGCACCATTCATTTAAAGGATTATGAAAATATAACATTAAAAGGTATTAGGCATAACAATATTTATGTGATTGACTTGGATTGGGCATCTAATGTTGATATAACATGCTTAGTTTCTAAAGAAGAAAACTCATGGTTATGGCATAAGAGAGCGGCTCATATTAATATACATCTATTAAGCAAACTAATATCTAAAGATTTAGTTATTGGTTTGCCTAAGTTACAATTTGAAAAAGATAAATTATGTGATGCATGTCAAAAAGGTAAATAAGTAAAATCATCTTTCAAAACTAAAAATATAATTTCCATAACAAAGTCTTTAGAACTTTTACACTTGGATTTATTTGGATCATCTAGAATCAAAATTTTTGGTGAAAATTATTATGCTCTTGTAATTGTTGATGATTACTCTAGATTTACTTGGACATTTTTTTTTAACTTTGAAAAGTGAAGTTTTTAAGGCATTTAGAAAGTTTGCAAAAAAAATTCAAAATGAAAAGGAATTAATTAAAGTATTAGACGTGATCATGGTGGAGAATTTTAAAATGAATCTTTTGAAAAGTTTTGTGAAGAGAATGGTATTTTACATCATTTTTCTGCACCTAGAACCCCCCAACAAAATGGTGTAGTTGAAAGGAAAAATAGATCACTAGAGGAACTAGCAAGAACAATGTTGAATGAATCAAATGTTTCTAAATATTTTTGGGCAGATGTTGTAAGTACTGTTTGTTATGTTTTAAATAGAATACTCATTAGACCTATCTAGAAAATGACTCCTTATGAGCTATTTAAAGGTAGAAAATCAAATGTTGCTCATTTGAATATCTTTGGTTGTAAATGTTTTGTATTAAATAATGGTAAAGACAATTTAGGTAAATTTGATTCAAAAGCTGATGAGACTATCTTCTTAGGTTATTCCCTTTCTAGCAAAACATATAGGGTATTCAATAGAAAATCTTTGAATATTGAAGAATCTGTGCACGCTACATTTGATGAAATTGTAGACCTTGAGAGAAATCCTCTTGAGTCAAGTAAATAATATGTAGTTGATGATGAGTACACAAGGGAAGCATTAGAAGAAATGTACTTAAATGAAAATGAGTCATCACAATCAACTGAATTGGCAAAAGAGTGTCAACCACCAAGAGGACTTTCAATTGATAATATAATTGATGACATCTCAAAAGGGGTAAGTACTAGAAATATGAAAAATTCATGTATGTTTGTAACCTTTGTTTCTCAAATTGAACCCAAATATTTTGAGGAAGCACTCAAAGATGATCAATGGTGCATTGCAATGCAAGAAGAACTAAATCAATTTGAAAGAAATCAAGTCTGGGAATTGATTCCAAGAGAAGAATCCCATCAAGTAATTGGAACGAAATGGGTATTTAGAAACAAGTTTGATGAAGATGAGAACATAACAAAAAATAAAGCTAGACTTGTGGTA